CAGGCAGGCCATGAGCTTTGCTGAGAAGCACTGGTGCTCCTGGTGTGCTTTCCACAGCCCCTCACATAAGCTCATCCTCAGTCCACACTCACGCTTGCACATTTTCCTGTGTTTCCGTTGTACACGTGATTTGTGTTGCGCTGATTTTGTTAGTGATGCAGATGTTACAGTCCGGTGGTATGTAGGAGGGAATGGTGGATTTTACAGCTGACTGCAATATTCACAATATGTTTAATGTGTGAGGAAAAGATTATTTGCTGCCAGAAAATACATCAATAATCCCAAATATCAAATAAGCATGAGAGACGGATATTTCCTTTGCTATCACAAAAATGCTAGCTTTCATCAGACGCTTTTATTTTCTCGCTCACTTTGTAGCTCATAAGTGGGTTTGGTCAGCAGTACAGCTTCCTCCTGATTTCAGTGAGGAAAAAAACCCTAGCTATAGCCCTGCAAGCTATTACCTCTTAAAGCACCATTTGACATGAGTTTCAAGTGCTGTTTAGCTCCAGGTTTTGCAGAGTCCTGTGATGTCTGTCCAGGAAACCCAGTAATGTTCTCCAGATGGCATTTTCTAGAGGATGGCATCCACTCACCGTGGATGTAATTTCTGCATCCATGGGGATGGGCAGTGAGAAAGGACAGCTTGGCATCGCCCTTTCCCTGGCAGCAAGCTGCATTAAAGGGACATCCCCCTCCTGCACTGCACATCAACAGGCTGCCTCTTCACTGTCCCTGGTCAATTTGTCATGCCCAAGGACATCCTACTGTCTCCCCTCCTCCCCCTCCTCTTCATGCTGACCAGTCTTCTGCCAGGCTGGTGCCCTGACATCAGCCCAACAACCGGTCAGCATTCTGAAATCTACAGCATCATTTCTGTTGCAAACACTCATGGTCCTCACTGCTGCTGGGGATGGAGAGGAAACCACGGGAGTCCCACCAAAAGCTGGACATTGGTACAGCCACACTGGAGCTGGCAAACCTTCCTCCCCGTTTCCTCCCTTCAGCCAGGGTGGCTGGCAGCCTTCTGGCATGCTGGCCAAGGTGGCTGTGGTGTTCTTGAAGCTGGTGGCTTGGGGTTCATGCTTCCAGGCTGAGCGTGGGCCGTGAAGGCATCTCACAGAAAGCCAGATGCCATGCTCATCTGTGCACGTGCCTCTCTGCCTGTGTGTGTGTATGTTCGAGCTCACAGGGCTGGCACGTGTGCTTGGGTGTGGAGGAGAGGAGGAGTGGGAGGTGCTGGCTGTATTTCCAGAAGTTTCTGGAGAAGATGCATGGGCTGTCTCTTGAGGGCCTCCCTCGGCAATGTGGTGCCCAGCACCTGGTAGGCTTCCTCAAAGAAGTCAGCTTCAAGACTTCTAACACCAGACATGCAGCATGAGGGCTGGAAAAAGCAGACCAGGCAGCACATCCTCCTCTCCAGGAAAGCTGCTGCTTTTTCCTTCCTGCATATAGAAGCTGGAGGGAAGCGATCCATGCAGATGAGCAACATGCAGCTCTTGGGAGGGATGTGCTTGTAACCCCAGGTGTGTGGGCACTGCAGGCTCTCCATGCTGGAATGCCTGGATTGGTGCATCTGCCTTCCCCAGGGAGTAAATATGCTTGGCAGGGCTGCCTGGTTGGCACACACGCGTGGGGCTGTGGTGGGGGGTGTGCCACCCTGTCCTCTGCACGCGTTTGCCAGCGTGTGAAGTGTGCACACATTCCCTGCCTCTAACTACGGGGATTGTTAATCCTGTTTATAGCCAGCAGCAAGATGGGCAGGGAGCCGCTTAACAAGAGCTGACACATGAAAAAAATAAGGCTTTTGTCTCCATTGTACATTAAACAATTCATGAGGTTTGGGGTTGAATAAGACATTTAATGAACATTGGCCTGTTCGGGCTGCCTGCAGCTGGTCATTTCTCACCCAGGGCTGGGTGCTTTTAAAGGCAGAAGAAGGAGATGTGAGTTTTGAGTTATAAAATTTTAACAAATAAATGGCATTTCCTACTTATCTCAAAATGGAGAAATAGGGAGGAAAGCTAATAGCTGTGTTTTCAAGTATCTGGAACAATGGCAGGTTTGTAGACACAGTGAAAGCCCAGCTAAACTGAAGTGAGGATTCTCCTTGAATAGCTTTATTTATTTATCTCTGAAACTATTTGCTCAGTGGTACAGGAATGCAGCCAGAATCCCTGCTTGTTTTGCAGCAGGCACCTTGTTAGTTCCCTTCTTAGATCTCACAGAAGCACGCGGGGTGGAGTAATGAGAAGGGAACGATTAGGGAACAGATCAGACCTTGTAAGGCTGGCTAATTGGGAGTCAGAAGAAGAGGAGGTGGCTGAGAAGACTGGGAGACATTTGCCTGTGGTTACAGGGACGTGTGGTTACCTGCATCCATGTCATCTTTGTTTTATTTTATGTAAGATCACTTCTCTTCATTCTAAAAGAAGAGAGTAAAAAGAGATAAATATGTTTACACACTTTAAATGTTCAAAAATATCACTTTATGGGGTCACAATTATGTTGCTGTGCTTCCACTTGATTCACTGCACCAGTTTCTATGGTGCCGACAAGAAGGATCAGATTTAGCTTTCACAGTTCTTCCTCTCTGTAGGGTCATGGAATATGAAGTAGTAGGAGGCTGGATTCACTTCTCTCTTGGACTTAGACATTAAGCACTAGCACTGGTGGAGCCTTCCTGGTGTCACATTTTGGCTCTTGATAGGTGGCTTTTGATTGAGCTCTTGGTGGGAGTTGTCCTCTCCTGGTGCACTTCTCCACCTGGAGCCCAGGTGGGACACCTGCCAGCCCCTTAGCAGAGAGGCCAAAGGCCAGATGGACCTGCAGGCACCGGGTGCTCTGTGACCCCTGCGTATGGTTCGTGCAGATTGGAGCCCAGAGCTGAGGCAGCTGCAGGGAGGGGGTGTGCTGCCCACTGCCAGCCAAGTGCCGCAGCTGAATTTCCTTTTGGGGACTCTGTCTTTGCTGCTGGCTCAGAGCACAGCTGCTGATTTCCCACACTGAAGGAAGCAGCGAGGCTGCCTTTCCCTCCCTGGTGCAGGCAGACCCCCTGTTCCAGTGCTGGGGCACAGGCTAGCAGCCCAAAACAGATGGTGCTGTTTTACGCTCAGCCTGCACGGCTGCCCGAGGCAGACAGCAGGCGCATGCATTCCCATCAGATGATACAGGAGAGGGTATCTCAACATGATGCTTCTGCCCATGCATTCCAAGTGGAGAGCAGCTCAGCCTTGGGACACCAGTCCAACTGGTTCTCAGCAGCACAATTCTGTTGGAAAGGAACAACTTTGCTTTGAAAATCCTCTTTATAATCCCAGTCCAGCTTTCACTACAGCAGCAGGGGGCTTTTGTTTTGGCCTGCCTATAATACTGAGGCATTTTGCTCTAGAACAAAGAATCCTGTTATAGCAACAATCTCGATTAGTGCATATTAATGTGCTCAGTTTGTGTAATCTATTTTACCATGTAATTTATTTTAACATTTATTTTAACGCTTTCTACCTCTACACTGAATTAGTAACAATCTCATCACCTGTCAATGGAAGGAAGCTATTTGGGATATTTAACCTTATATGCCCTGGCATTTAGTTCACTGTTTGAACTGTAGCTTTTAAGCATGACAGTCTTCTTTATTTTTTTTATTTTTTTTCCCTTGTACAGCAGCCTGATCCAAACTACAGCTCTATAAATAGCCATTACTACTAATGCATCTAATATGGTATGGAAAATTGATGTGAGTTTAAAAATGTTGTGAAGGAGAAAAATGCAGCATGATATGGGATCTTTAATGGTCTCAAGGATCATAGTATTGCTTTTGCATTGCAGTTATCTTCCTCACTCCTGCAGGTCTTCATGTCCTTAAATCACATGCTCCTCAAAGCAGGAGGGGGATCAGCAATGTCAGGGTCTTGGTGGAGGAGGATAGTCAAATGATACAGAATGTCATTTTCTTTGGATGTCTCCTGACTCGAGTTGTTACTGCAGATCTGTATGAACTTGCCTTTGAGGTCTGATCAGATCGTGTCCCAAGGTGCTGCCTTTTCTTGGCTAGCCCAGGACACCATAAATTACAGATGCAGCTGTAAAATAATCAGCTTTACAGTTGCTTCCTTTCACCAAAGAAAGGCCTGCCCTCAAACACAGGGATGAGAAAGTAGAGCAGGGGATTACATGGGAAGATGATATGCCATGCACAAACATACATCGACAGCCTCAGGCTTTGACACCAAGCTATTGTGCTAATGCATGCACGTTGATACAGTGATAGTTTGGAAAGGCAGTGTCTTTTTGAGTGGGTCAAAACTGTGCTTGATTGTTTTCTCATCCTGTAAAACTAGAGTTATAAACCCATTCTGATCCTTCACTGCCATGAGATTTGTAAGCCATAAGCCTGATTCCTAGAGAGGCACAGCTGTGTTGGTCACTTGGATGCCCTTAGGTCCCATCACCTGGGAACTTGCACTTGAGAAGCTGGAGAGGGTGATCAGAGCAGAGACCCTGGTAGTGTAGATGAGCAGGGCTGAAGCTGCCCCGCTACCAAGTGGCATTTTCTCAGTCAGAACAGGACTTGCCACGTGCCTGGGCCTTGGCCATACATAAGCTGAACCCGAGGGCACCAGGATCTTGCTCAGTCGTGAGTGGTGGATCAAAGCCAGCTCTTCCTGAATGAGACAGTGGCAGCTGTACAGGCTACAGTCTGTTTTCTGGTGTCAAGGCTGCTGAGAAGACATGGCTGAACTGGCTTTCTATGTCACTGCAGGAATCTTGGAAAAACATTTAGGATTAAGCCAGCTTCAGACAGGATAATCACAGCACCTTCCACTGCACGTGAAAGCATCAGGCAGCCTATCACTCTATCCATTCTTTGGTGTATATTTTCTCTGTCTCTCTCCTTTCACCCCACCATATGTGGCATGTTGGATGTGCTGCCTCCCCCTCCTGTTTTCTGCCCCAAGGTTGTTGTAAGCTTGAGAGTGATGTCTGGTAACGCTCTTTATTGCACATAGTACAGAGAAATATGAGGATGGCAACCCTACAAGAGCAGATGGCTTCACATGCCTGGATCTGTTTCCTCAGACAAAGCAGGATACTGCGAACTGGTGTTCATTTCACTTGGTAACATCCACTTGAAATATTGGTGGGTGTTGAACCATTTGGGGAAGCAGGCAGGCTGTTACAAAGACTCACGTGGGCAGGGTAGAGTGAGGGCGTATAGGTGATGGGAATCCTGCACATTTCTGGTAGCATGTCCCTTCCCAGATGAGAGGACAGGGTGCTGAAAGAAAGAAGTTGTAAATAGAGGGGAATTTCTCTGTACTCCACTGCATGCAAATATGTGCATCTCCAACAAGGCTGGCTAAGAGTAAAAGGACTCACTGGGAGGGGTCAGCTGTGGAGTTAGTTTGGACACCTCAAGCATGGACTGCAAAGGCTCAATTTATCTTGTTGGGAGTGTACACACAGTACACAGTAAATATATTCTCCAGACAGTCAGCATCCACACTCAGCAGAGACTACAACATGGCAGTGTTTGTAGCACAAGCAGGAAGAGGCCCCTGCACCATGCATCTGCAGGGTGGCACTTGGAGGAACAGGTGGGAGAAAGGTGAGGAGATAAAGAGGCGAAGAGCAAGGTCATCTCTGTGTGCAGAGAGAGTACTCACCAATGGGAGGAAAGAAAGAGAGGGACACTGGTGAACATGTGGGGGACAGAAAGGATTCATTAGAACAGGGAGGAAAGGAAGATTCACAGGGCAGGGATGTCAGAGGCAGTAGCCACAGCCCCGGAAGCCCTTCCACCTCATCCCTGCATCACCCCGCATGAAAATGCTGTCCCCTTCTGTCAGACACCAGTCTCCATCATTTCAGCTTCCTAGCCCACCTGCTCCATGTTAATGCATTTCTGATAATTACCATTTTTCAGAACTATTTTGACTGCTAAAAAATGCTGTTTTTAAAATATAAGCTGATTAAAAGAGACTACTCATTAGCATAAGCTCCTTGCTGTTCAGCCCTCTTCCTAATTAAAAGCACTCATCTGTGGAGACCTCGATTCTCCCCTGTCCTCTGGGCTAGCTTTTTGGACATTTTTCCCTGGCAGTTTGCTTTATTTTGCTTCATCTTCCTTTTTTTAGTTTCCTCTCCAGCAGATTTCTGGCAAGGGTGGAGGAGGATTCAGGCAGGTGGAGGCTTAGGTATTTAGTACCAGATGAAAACTAGAATGAATATGCTGTTCCTTAAAGCATCATCTTCTGTTTATTGCTGCTGGCTTGGCAGCAGAGCAGCAGCATGTTGGCTCCCAGGTTCTTGGAGGTGCACCTCCCAGGGCAGTGACCTCCTCCGGTCTAAACAGCACTAGGCTGGTGGCATGTTTGGATGGCAGATCTGTAATGCAAATCCAAGGGTGCTGGTGGCTGTGCAGCAGGTGTTGATTTCTCTCTCATTCAGCACTAAGCCAAGGTCCCAGTGAGGGCTCAGCTGCTTCTGTGTTGTGGGGAAGGCAGCATTATGATGAGCTGCAGAGGACCCCACCACAGAGCCACATGATGGCTCTAAATATCTAAATGTAGCCCCAGTACTTTGGAAAATTTTAGCGCAAGGAACTGTTTTCTGTCTTCCATGGTGTTCCCTAATAGTCCTGAATTAAATAAAGCAACCACCCTCATTCCTCCCCTCAGTGTTGCCTGTTTCTAAGCAGCTGCCATCTTTAGCCCTGAGGTGACAGCATTTTTGAGGCCACTGATGTCTGTCGTCACCCAGAGGGGCTCTGGAAACCTGCAGCAGGACTGGAAGGCCCTGCAAATGATACTCCACACATTCTAAATGCTAGCTATTAAATAACTGAGGCAAGAATGGTGTTTAAGCTGTCCCAAAGCAGTCTGGCACTCCAGCCAGCTTGATCAGTAGGAATTCACATCTGTGGGATGGATGGGTTGCTTGCTGGTCCTCTGCAAACGTTCAGAAGGAGGGGAACTTGCTGGCATGTATGGACCCAGCTCACCAGCATGTGTGGAAGGAGGAGATTTCTCCAGACAGTGTTGTTTAGAAGTCTATTCACTGCTTTTTATCTTTCCATTATATGGAATTATGGCAGACATTGAAATACTCCTGTTTTCTTCCCTAAGAAGAATTTCTGTGGTTCACCTGTGAAATTCAACAGATGACTACTGTCAGCAAAAATCTGTTATCTTCATTTCAGGAGGTCCTTCCTCAGCTACAGTCAAGTGTCACTTGGTGCCACTAAAGAGAAGGGGCTTAAAGCTCTGCTTGTGAGAGCGGCTTGGACATAAATTTTTGTCGAAGCAAACTCAGGCCTGGCTGGCCAGGGACCTGTAACCCATCATGGGAATACCAGAAGGCAGCAGACATTTTCCTAGTCCTTGTTTTCATTCTATCCTTGCTCAGGCTGGATTGGATAGGAGCTGTGGCCAGGTTTGGCTCAATATCCCTTCTCCCCATGCTTTTTCAGTGTCTTATGCTTAGCCCTGCAGGAGCTGACACTGCTGTGGAGAAGTGAGACTGGCGTCTAATTTGCGTCATGCCTCGGCAGCTATAGTCTGACTGCAGGCTCTTTCTTCCTGGGGTTCCTCTAAGAGCCAAAAAAAGAACAGCTGATTTTTCAGATGGAGAAGGGATTGGGGATGGCGGGGAGGTTAGGTACTCTGGGGTTAATGGTCATCTCTTTCACATCAACTCTCTGCTGGTGGAAGTCCATTGATTGTAATGAAATGATGCCTGATTTACCATGACAGTCAGGAAAGCATCACCCTCAGTTTATTTATTTCCTTTAGAACTGAAAAGTGAAACCCATCTGAACTGAAGGGGAGAATTCCACAGGCACGTGAGAGACTTATTCCAGTAAAAAAAGCTGCCCTTTTGCACAGACTCTTTATACTCCACACCCCACCCTTCCCTCCAACATCCTCCTTCCCTGCTTCCTCACACCAGTCTGTAAATCCCCTGTTCAATTGTACATACTGGGAGTGGATGATGTCTCTTGCTTATACCATGGCACTTCAGAAATAACTTGACAGAAGTTTGTGGCATTGCAGCAGTCAGGCCCCAGGTTCAGCCGAACCATGACTGTAAAATCCCATTTAAAAGGTCAGGAGCAATGTTCTTAGCACTCACTTTTCACCCTTCTATGTACCTCTTCTGCTTGCTTGACTGTCTTTTCAAAACTGTCAGCCAGGCTAAGGTCTCACCTGAAATTCTGAAGTAGCCTGAAGTGAACAGCCTGAATAGCTGCAAAGGTCAAGACAATTCCTTGGCTGTGGTGAAGGGCCAAAGTCACTCCCAGTTTCACTCAGTTGCTTCAACATCACACCAGGAAGACTTTGGTTTAAGGTAGTGGCTCTACCTTGTCAATAATCCAGCCTCACCTTTGCAAAGCCAGATGCATGCTACTTCCATAGGCAGGGAAATTGAGGTGGAAAGTCCAGAGGGGGATGAGAGTTTGCATTGAGCTCTCCAGCATGTCAGAATTGCTCTGATATGTTGCTTTTCACCAGCAAAACTCCTGGTGTCCTGCAAAAGTAGAATGAGTGTCATTATCTTAATTTTGTAGCTGTAAAAATCAAGTCATGGACTGGGAGCCACTGGATTAGGAGGGAGTTGCCAGGGCCAGCTTAGTGTGTCTTCCAGAGCTGCCCTAATGCCTCCAGGAGCCAGACCCAGCAGGCATTAGACTAGGCCTAGGAGTACGCCCTAGCTCTGAAATCCTTTAGGAGAGTCATGTCACCTCTCCATCCTTTTTCATCATGCAGTGGCCACATCACACAGCTAAAAGAACATAAAACAGGAGGGAAAACTTTCATGGAAAAGAGCTGGTCTTGCTCTTCCCCAGTCCCAGCAGCTCTCCCGGAATGGCAACTCTAGTGTCCTTCTCAAAAGTGGGGACAATGTATCTCCCATCTATGCCCCCATGTGTGAGGCAGCAGTGGGTGCTGGTTGTCACAGTGGGTGTTGGTGTTGGTGGAGTGCATTGTTGTCACAAACAGGCCTGCCAAGCACTCTGTTCCCAACAGCCATGGCAGAATCAGGAGTATCTTCGTGGTAGGTCTTGTGGGTGCAACCCTGCGAACAGTCAATTTCCCTGCTTCAGGGTGTACGTGGGTCTGTCTGCTCAAAATCAAGCTGAATTTCAACCTGAAGACAGCAGAGGCTTTAGAGCAAACAGTCAGGACTTTGCTCTTCAGTGTTGCCACAGGATTTGACTTGTTTTTGCTGTCAAACTCTGTTTCTTTGATCTTACGGCTGAGCAAGTGGGTTGCACCTAAGAACTCAGTTCCTAGTGGGTTTTCACACATCTGAAACTGGCCATTATGGTGACATGGTGCTCTGAAGGGAAAATGGGAGAATGGACAAGCAGTGCTGGTTTGAAAAGCTGCAGAGATTTTTTTACAGGTCAGATGTTTTAAACTCAGGCCATAGGGTCTCAGTAGTTTTAGGTCTTATGAGAACTCTGCCTGAACTGCTGCTCTTTCTCATAGTTACAGCATTTCCTCCTGACCCAGGGTACTTAAATATTCTAATATTAACTCTAGAATAGACAAGTATTTCTAGATAGATAGCTCATCCAGAGAAGGATATTTATTATTTTATATCTAGAGTGAGCAGTCCCCATGGGCATCCATGTATTAATCTTAGGGAGCTGTGATGGATGGAAAAGTAGGTTGCTCTCTGCAGTGAGGTAGTTTGTACAGGGGAAACTTGAGAAGTTCCCAAACTGAAGGGATTGAAAAGTAATGGGTGCTACAGAATAGTTGGGTGGGTAGGTGGTAGATGCTTTTTATCACTTGGTTTGGGACAGATTGTTCATTTCTTCTTCCTTCATTTGCTAAATTCCTACATATTAGGAATAAGGAAATGAGGTGGTCATAACAGTGATAAAATTCAAAGTCATTTCCGAAGATGAATTTCAATTAGACCTGAACCATTCAGATCTGTTCAACAAAGCTCTTCACTCTCATGTAAGACTTAACAAAATGTGTCTGTTTCTTCTGTCTTGTGCAGTTTCTCTTCCCTTGCATTCAGCAAGGCTGTCTGCTTCCTCTGCTGCCAGGGGCTTGCATCAGCTCTTATATAGGTTACTTCTTATTCTCTCTGGTAACAGCTCCCTCTCCGGTCTGACTAGAGATGAGACACCGATGAGGGACAGAAAGAGTTAAGCAGTGAACAGAGAAGTCATCTAAAAGCAGGGAGAGGGACTCTGATCCTCTACAAAAAACTGTGCTGCAGTTGCTAGGACTGGCTCCCAGCATCAACTTTGTAAGAAGTCTGCCCCCTCTTTTAGGCATCTAGGTATTTTCCTTACTTGGAGAAGGGAATAAAACCCCAGACACAAACCAAAACAAAATGCCTGACATCAGATCTAATTAATAATAATAGAAAAGCCAATTTCACAGCCCATTACCCCTCATAGCCAGGTGGGGGGGTAGGAAGGTGAGGAGGAGGAGGGACTTGAAGCAACATGGGCGGGTGTGTTTGTGGACCTTATGAAAGAGATGGGGTGAGGGTGGCTCACAGAGTTTCCCTGCCAGACGTATAGCTTTAGGCTCCATTAACCCAGAACCCAACAGAAGGTACCATAGCCAAGGGGAAAATCTTTAAAAATGCCGACAGCATCATTTTGCTTCATTAGCAGGGCTCTGGCGTGCCTCCTTCTCTCTTCGCTACCACTATGACCCCCTCCCTTCCAGGCCCCCTCCTCTCCCTCTCTTTCCGTTTCGTTTAACTGAAGGCAATTCATCTCGTTTTAATTAATTTTTACTTGCAGCGTTATCACCCCAAGTATAAAGGCAAAAAGTTGTTTTTTTTAATTACAAAGCTAACGGCATTAATTACCAGTACAGTAAATGCATCAACGCATGGGAGCCAAGTGGCGTTTGGAGGCATTGAGGCAGTGAGCGTCTGTGACAGCTGCAAAGGGTTTGGTGGGATTTTTTCTTTTTTTCTTCTGACAGCCTCACCACAGTAGAGCCTTACTTTGGGAAAAAAAAAAACAAAAAAACAGCCTGAGATTTTTTAAACCACAAATCAACTCCAGCCACCTACTGGGATATGGCATCTGGAAAGGATGAAATGGAGCATTCTTAAACTATAGGGCTGGAAGGCACAGGAAAAGATCTTTGTCCCAAAACAGAAACCACTAGACCTGTTTCAGTCTTGATGGATGTTTGTTACAGCTCAGCATTCACAGGGAGTCTAAGTCCAATTGGTGCGGTAGTTCATCCAAATGTCACCCTTGTTTCCTAAATGGATTCTTGTAGGTGAAATATTTGCAGAGCTTTGATGATCTGGGCAAGTGGAGATGACTACAGGGAGCTGACTGTGGGCTCTGTCCAGCCATGGCACGTGAACACATCTCCAGAAGATGAAAATGACCCATTGCTTCAGCTCTGAATGGACTCTGAGGAATGACCAAAAAGCATAAAAACTGAAGTACTTTGTGTTAAAAAGAAGGGATTTGGCGCAGGGATCGCACTTCATTGTGACATTCATGGTGGTACAGAGGAGGCACGTCAGGTGCCAAGGGAATCCACTTTCTGAGAGAACTGGGCTTAGAGAAAGAGGTGTCAAGGGCATTGGCAGTGCTAGGAGAAGGGCTCTTGGGTCTCCATCTTGAGCTATTAAGAGACATCTTGTCTGTTTCCTTTTATTTTCTTGAAGGGGAAGGTGTAGAATCAGTTGAGAGGAAAAAGCTTGAATGTGCCAGTGTTGCACTGGTGCTTGGAACACGGAGGTGGCTTTGCCTTTGCCAGGCAATGGGTGACCTTTGGAGGAAGGGAAGCATGGTACAGGAAAGGCACCTCTGCAGTCAAATGGGGCAAACAGAAATGGTGCAGTGTGAGAGTTGCTTCTGCTACTCTGTTATTCCCATTAAGTTAGGGATAAACCAGCAAGTGCTGAGGAGTAGGGTGGGCCAGGCCCCGAATTTTAAGTTCCTGTACGTGCTTCCTGAGCCACATTTTGCTTTGGCCTGTTTCTGGCTCAATCCTTGTCTGCTCCTGCCATAGCAAAACCTCTCTGCTGAGTTGTAAAAGAAGTCTCACCCTCTCTGAAAGTGTTGGAAGAAATGTCTTTCTATGGCCTTGCCTTTCAGTCAGAGCCTGACTGTGAAAGGACAGATATAAGGAGTGGAAATTACCCTAATAAAATGATGTCTATCATTTTCTTGTTCCAACCAGAAATTCTGTAGCATAGAGCATAAAAAAAATAATTAAAAAAAAAAGAAAAAAAGAAAAAGAAAGAAAAAGAGAACTTATTCAGGAACAACCTGAAGGCGAAAATTATGAAATTGAAACCCAAAGAATCAGCAGGGAAAGTGCTTTAAAAAAGTCCCTCATTAGAGTCACAGAAGGTAGCACCATACCCCCACATGAAAAACAAAATAAAAACCTGGAAGCAAAAAGGTAAGAGAAACTCATGCACTTAAATACCAAGTTATGTTGGTTTATTCAAGTCAGATAAAGAATACTTTAAAAATTGGATATTCCATCCGAGTGATGCTAATAGAATGGAACATAAAATGGAGCACTGAGATGTAAAATACAGATTAAGAAAAAATTTGAGGAACAAATAGCCAAAGATAACACAAGCAATAATAAATTCTTTACATACCAAGAGTAGGCAGCCCCAGGGAGAGTCAGTTAAAGAGGTAATCAGGATGAATAGAGATTGCAGAAAAGCCTTGGTCATTAGTAGAGGGGAGAAGAGAACCCTGAATACCCCAGCATGCATTTTGCAGAGAAAAAATGATGACACTGTCCTTGGGTGATGTGTGAGTAATAATGAAACTGTGTGCAAAATGGGGCTGTAAAAGATCTCCAGGTTATTGCAAAGGGACTCCATGTTGGCAGATCTCAATTTTGACTTGCAGTCCTCCACAGAAAAATTTGTATTCCCTGATCATCACCCCAGTACCACCCCAGATTCTGGGGGAAGAAGCAACCTGAAAAGAGCAGGTATGAAATGTGAACCTATACAACCAGCAGGTAGATTGCTACAAAATGAAATCCCTTAATAGGTTCGTAGGAGGTCATACCATGTTCCCAAATTAAAATCAAAACCTGGAAACAAAAAGGAAATAGGAAAAAGTGCAGTCAAATGCCAAATTTCATGGTCCTATTCACATATATTTAAAAAAAAAAAAAAAAACTAAAAAAGGAAAATAAGAAAATATTACACCATGGCATAAAATGTTTGGGGTTTTTTTGTTTGCTTTGTGTTTTTTTGTTTCATCTTGTTTTTTTGTGGGGGGCTGTTTGTTTGTTTGGGTGTTCAGTTGTTTGGGTTTTTTTGTTTTGTTTTGTTTGGGTATTTTTGTTAATGATCAAGTCTTCAGCTGTACTATCTTATTCAGTTCTGGTATTCCCCTTTAATTGTTGCTGTTAGTTCTGCCCTCTATGAAACACCCTTTTTTTGTCACTCACATTAGACTTTGGGCTGATCTGTTGTCATTTCCAAAATGAGGGGCATTGCTCTGTCCTGTAGCACAGGAACCTAGCATGGCCTCTGGCCAGCAT